GTCCAGACTTTTCACCCAGAGATAGGACGTAACTCAATTGGGCTGAAACCTGGGCATTAGTTTTAAAAAGAGCCCCAGGTAACTCTAATGCTAGCCAGAATAAACAACTGACATATATAATATGATTCCCTGTGATGTTATAATATTGTATTTCTCTTTAGTGCATGGATAATACAGTTTTTTCCCAGTCTTGCATATCTCTGAAAATTCCAAATGCATTTTACTGAAGTAAAGAAGAAAGTTTACTTGAAAATATACCTGTGAAGTTTGAAGGCATTGGCACAATATCGATGTGTTGTTTCTTTTTCCAAGTTGCTCGGTAAATTGACAATTGATAAGGCGCCAAAGGGGCATTTCTGTTATTTAAAGTAAAGAATGAATTTTGTGTTAATTTTTACAAATAAACAGTTGACTAAAATGGAAAGATTAAGTAGTTTTTATAAGCAATCTTCTCAACATGGAGTTGCCCAAAGATGTAAAATATTTTTCATTTCCTTTTATTTCCTTAAAAGTTTCTAGAAGGCAAAAATTGTATCAACTAATTTCGCATTACCCTTAGTGACTGCCATAATCTTAGATATTTAATGTTCATTTAATAATTATTGAAAAACTACAGAACTTGGAAGTTTTGTGCACATTTGTTTACATCCTATCTAATAAAAGAGAAACATGGTAATTAGCCGTCCCTCCGCTACCCTTCCAATTGGCTAATCAGGGCGATATGCAAATTAACTGCCAGCCAAGATGGCGGCCGGCAGCCAGGCAGCTTGAAGCGAACATGAGGCTTGCTTGCTTCAGTGACGGAGGAAGCCAACGTTCCCCGCCTGCGGCTGCTGGCCTCTGAGCTTGCAGTTTGAAACATTGTTACAAATATAGAAGCTAAACAAAACCCCAGAAACCTGCTTTCAGCCAGCCGGGATCTCAGAGCTGGAATTGAAACAGGTTTTCGATTATAGAACCCAAACAATCCAGATCCCTGCTTTCAGCAGCCGAGGCCTCTGAGCTAAAGCTGGCCCAGAATAAAAAAAAAAGAAAAAAAGGAGCAGTTGGGAGCTTCAGTCCCCCGCCAGCCTGAAAACAGCCCTCAGCCCCTCACCCAGGCTGGCCAGGCACCCAAGCAGGTCCCCCCCCCTGATCCAGGACACCCTTCAGGGCAAACCAGCCGGCCCCCACCCATGCACCAGGCCTCTATCCTATATAGTAAAAGGGGAATATGCCTCCCAGCACCAGGATCAGCGGAGCCGCGAGGCCTCCCGGCACCGGGATCAGCGTGACAGGGGGCAGCGCCCCAACCCCGATTGGCCCTGCTCTGTGCGAGACAGGGGGTGGCGCCGCAACCCCCTGATCAGCCCTGCTCTGTGCCTAATAGGGGGGAGCTCCCCCACCCCCTGATGGGCCCTGCTCTGTGAGTGACAGGGGACTGGGCCACAACCTCCCTATCCGCCCTGCTCTGTGCATGATAGGATGTAAACAAATGTGCCCCAACTCCCCTATTGGCCCTACTCTGTGCGTGACAGGGGGGAGCTCCTCAACCCCCTGATCGGCCCTGCTCTGTGCGAGACAGGGGGTGGCGCCGCAACCCCCTGATCAGCCCTGCTCTGTGCCTAATAGGGGGGAGCTCCCCCACCCCCTGATGGGCCCTGCTCTGTGAGTGACAGGGGACTGGGCCACAACCTCCCTATCCGCCCTGCTCTGTGCATGATAGGATGTAAACAAATGTGCCCCAACTCCCCTATTGGCCCTACTCTGTGCGTGACAGGGGGGAGCTCCTCAACCCCCTGATCGGCCCTGCTCTGTGCGAGACAGGGGGTGGCGCCGCAACCCCCTGATCAGCCCTGCTCTGTGCCTAATAGGGGGGAGCTCCCCCACCCCCTGATGGGCCCTGCTCTGTGAGTGACAGGGGACTGGGCCACAACCTCCCTATCCGCCCTGCTCTGTGCATGATAGGATGTAAACAAATGTGCCCCAACTCCCCTATTGGCCCTACTCTGTGCGTGACAGGGGGGAGCTCCTCAACCCCCTGATCGGCCCTGCTCTGTGCGAGACAGGGGGTGGCGCCGCAACCCCCTGATCAGCCCTGCTCTGTGCCTAATAGGGGGGAGCTCCCCCACCCCCTGATGGGCCCTGCTCTGTGAGTGACAGGGGGCAGCGCCCCAACCCCCTGATCCGCCCTGCTCTGTGCATGATAGGATGTAAACAAATGCGCCCCAACTCCCCAATCAGCCCTGCTCTGAGCCCGACCAGGGGCTGCACCTAGGGATTGGGCCTGCCCTCTGCCACCCGGGAGTAGGCCTAAGCCAGCAGGTCGTTATCTCCCGAGAGGTCCCAGACTGTGATTGGGCACAGGCCGGGCTGGGGGACCCCCCCCCCCCCAGAAATTTTTGTACCGGGCCTCTAGTTATTAGATAAAAGAAGGCAAGATAAAACATGGTTATTGAGTACTATACAACTGCATATTCAGCTTATGACAGATTCCTTCCCTCTACTTCCTTCTTCCTGTCTTTGTATACATCTGTTTCTACCTTAAGTCCTTTAAGGTCATGGATTATACCTTTTTTGTCTATTTATGTCCCAACAACAGCTAGCATAACATTTGGCTAGAGCAAGGATTAATGTCTTTCTGCTGTGGTTTTTTAACTTTCCATATGAAAATGAAGTTTCTTATTCCGAGTAAATTCACATAAAAAAGATTTATTCATAAAAAACCTTATTCAAATAATACTTGACTAGTAATCAGATAAATGGCTATGAAACAAGAATGGCAAGAACTGGAGGTTAATTTAAGAGTGGTAATGTGGCCCTGCCAGTGTGGCTCAGTGGTTGAGTGTCGACCTATGAACCAGGAGGTCAGGGTCTGATTCCCCATCCGGGCACATTCCCGATCCTCAGTGTGGGGTGCGTAAGAGGCAGCCAACCAATGATTCTCATCATTGATGTTTCTACCCCTCTTTCCCCCTCCTTTCCTCTCTGAAATTAATGTATAGAGTGGTAATGTGGCTAGAGGAACTTATCAGAAGTACAGATAACTTCAAAAAGATACATCCCAGAGTATAATCTCACATTTGAGATTTGTTTAGCAGAAGAACTGTTCAGTAAGCTCAGAGACCAATTCAAAGTCTCTGTATAGAAAAATTTCAGTGAGTTCTCATTATATGTTATAAGAACATAGATAATTAAACAAATAAAACTTTTGCTCTCTAAATAAATACTACCCTCTAAACAAAACTATTAATTCTTTACATGAGATATTTCTCTGCCAATCAAGTTACCCTCATTTACAGAATTCTTTTTATTCCATCAATGTACACAAAATACTTATAGGCTAAAGTAATTTAAACTTCTCTAAATCTGCAAGGGAAAAAATATCCACACTGTTCATATATGAAGTGAATTATAAGCATTTTAATTTTCGGGTATATACTATCCTCACCCCCAAAATAGACATCACATTAGTATCTTTTCAGCCACTGAAGTGCATACCCCAAATTTTGGAACCTCATTTTCCTACAGCAGTGAAAAAAGAAAATAAAGTTCTTTCTTTATAGAATTAAAAATATATTACTCAAAATCAGATTTCCAGCACCAGAGAACATTGGTATATAAGAGTATTTGCTGGAAGAAATATTTCCTGTTTATATTTTCAAAATAAGGAAAATACCTTCTTTCAGGTATTTTCTTTCTGGAAGCCAATGCAGAATACACATGAAGCTTATTAGAATAAGTAACAGGGTGGTATCCATACTCTGGTAAAGGTCCTTTCTAAAATGGATTATCTACGAATAAAAACACCTAAATTAAGAACTTCGTGAACTGGCTCCTAATTATCTTTCATGAATTTAAGTTGGAAATTCATAATTCTTAAGTCAAAAGCCTTAAACTTTTCAATGCAACAAAAACTAATTTGGGGTATTTTGAAAAATTATACTAATGGAATAAACTCAATAAGAGAAGAATGTACAATACAGCAGAAAAAGCACTTAAAGATTAGGTTAAATTGAAAAATTTTGGCCATATGCACTTCTATTTAAAAGCTGCAAATTTAGGTCTAGCCAGTTTTGCTCAGTGGATAGAGTTTTGGCTCTCAGAGTGAAGGGTCCTGGGTTTGATTCTGGTCAAGGGCACATACCTACCTCAGTTGCAGGCTCGATCCCTGGTCCTGGTCAGGGCATGTGCAGGAGGCAACCAATCAATGTGTCTCTCTCACATTAATGTTGATGTTTCTCTTTATCTCTCCTTTCCACTCTCTCTAAAAATCAATGGAAAAATATCCTCGGGTGAGGATTAACTTCCCCACCCCCACAGTTGCAAATTTAAAGTTATATGGACTTGAAAAAATGTATGTTATATAACTCATATTTTTAGAATTCATATTTCCAAACAGTTCTGGTGAAGAATATCCTTCTCATAAAAAGGTGGAAAATATATAAATATATATATTTGGTTGGAAATGGCTTTACAAAATTGAGTATAGGGAGGATAACTTTTAAATAAAAATTTGGACTAATTACAAATCAATAATATTAGATTATTGATATAAGTACAAAATTTATATTCTTTATTCATTGCTTTATATTTTGCCTCTTTAAAAACAATTATAATATATTCAGAATTTTCAGATTTCATTTTCAGGTTATAAATTTGATTCGGTAAATAAAATATCACTTACCTTAATACAAATACCACAGCCAATACAAAGAGTTTCAGAAATCCAAACTATTTTGCACTGGGGTGTAACCTCAATGCATAGTTTTCCTGGCAAAAAAAAAAAATACTCTTATGAGGCAAGAGGGAGATGACTCTAATATATTTATTTTGTTTAATTTACTACAGCAGAAGAAAATATGCTGGTAAAATTGTGGCAGATCCTAAAAGTTTTATTTTTAAGCTGACTGACCTAAATATTTAATTCACAAAATATGCCTTGCAAATGGTAATGTATACCAGAGAAAAGAATGAAATAAGTTAGCTAGATCAGTGAAATTCTAAAAAGTTAAGTAGTTCAGCATGTTCCCAAGGGCTGTGGCTCATGTAGCCATGGGCTCTCCAACTGCATGCAAGAGCAACCTGGAGAGACTTTGACAGCTCAGGTCAGCATAATACCTGCAGCTGCCACTCGCCTTTCCTATATCTCAGGACCTGGGCTTGGGAGCCTTCCACCTGGGCCCATGCAGGTGGATGTACTGAATCAACTTTGGTTTAGAGCTTTTCACCCTTTTCTCCTGTAGGTTGCCTCCATGTTTCCTGGCAGTGTCTGATAATGACGTAGCTGATACGGGCTTGTTGCTGCCCTCTTAGAATAAGAGCTTTTACCAGTAAACTGTCTTCATTTGTAATTCAGGATCTACAGAGTTGGGAGAGCTCTACAGTAAGAGGCAAGCTAAAAGACAAGTTTGTGAAGGAGATGGACTGTTCTACTTAAGTAACGAAAATCTCAGCTTTTCCACGCTCCAAGGCCTGCTGGTTCTTGAAGTAGGCCTTTGCCCACCCCTCATTGTGGGGCTGGTTCCTTATCCATCCTGCCCTGCAGCATGAATTGTCTTGTGTGCTACATTCCCTTAATAAATTCTTGATGTAAAAAAGTTAAGTAGTTATCTAATATACAGACAAAATTAAACTTGGCATATAAACAGGAATATTAATAAAGGATTTTCTGAACAGCATGGAAGACTATAATAGATGACATCTAAAGTCTCTTTTAAGATTCAGTAAGCCTATACAGTGGGGCCTTGACTTACGAGTGTCCCGACTAACAAGTTTTTCGAGATACGAGCCGTCTCTTGGCCGATTTTTTGCTTTGAGTTGCGAGCTAAAATTCGGGTTACGAGCCAGTTTCAGATACCCCACAGCGAGTTGGCGCAGGGAACGTCACAGTGAACGCCACAACATCAGCCCAGCATCACGTGTCATTGTAATGGTGAAAATTGATTTGACATACGAGTAATTTGAGTTACGAGCTCCGTCATGGAACGAATTAAACTCGTAAGTCAAGGCCCCACTGTACCTCACTAGTACATTTAAAGTTACAATTACTTTAACACAGTTCTAAAGATTACAAACAATTCATCCATTCTGAATTGCTGTAAATTTATTTTATCTTGAAAATATAGCAAAATCTCATGAACAGTGATTCTTATTAAGCTCTTTAAAATGAGAATATTATCAAATACAAACATATGGGCAATCCTTTCTCCAAGACTTAGAATAATTACAGGATTTTGTAGAACAGTAAGAATATCAGTAACTTGAACTCTGGTCTGACTTCATATTCAGTAAACTTTTAAAAATACTGATACTAATACATTATCCTATAATTTAAAAGAAACAGAATCATGTAGTCATAAAACAATAAAAAATTCAAAACAAAATCTGGTCTCTTTACATTTCAAAGAAACTAATGGCAAAAGTCTAGACAACTATGAAGCCAACTTGTTCCTTTTAAAATCTCTTAATCTTTAAATGATCCATGGAATAGCTTACCCATTCGAACCACAGGACAACTCTTTTTGCACTCTTGCCGACATTTCTTAGGTTTACATTTGTCATGGTTGACAATAGCAATTCTTGTTAATTTATCTGCCATAATTCTAGGTAGGAATATCCAGCTCTTCTGTTAAAGAGAAATTAACAAAATTATGGCATAATCAATGCAATTAATTGAGAAATAAGTCAGGCATAAAAGTTAGATAGGAGAGACCAACCAAAAGGCTTGTATGCATGCACATGAGCATAACCAATGGACACAGACTGGAGCGGGGTGAGGGCATGTGCTGGGGGGTAGGAGAGGCTGGGGAGAGGTCAATGGGGGAAAAAGGAGATTTATGTAATACTTTAAACAATAAAGAACTTAAAATTTAAAAAAAAGATAGGAGGACTTAAATTATCCCTATATTCCGATATGATTATCTGGAATTAGTGAAAAAACACCATCTTCCATCATCACACAAAAAAGAAATGATCTAGGAATCAACTTAACAAGACACATACAAATGTGAGGCAACTTTTAAAATATCATTGAAAAACATAAGACTCAACAAACAGAATGAGATTTTACCATAGAGAATAATAACACTAGAGATTTCAACCTTCCCCGAGTTTATACATTTAATCCAATCTCAAGGGGGTAGGGGGAGAGAAAAAATTAACCAAGCAAACTAAATTTAGAGCTCTTATGAGAAAAATAGTAACAGCCAGGAAAACTGAAAAAGAGCAGATGGAAAAACATGATATAATACACATGCTAAAGATGTTTACTCACTCTCTCAAACTAAGCATTACTTCATGTAGTAGTACATGAATAAAACTATCCATCTCACTATAATGACTCTATTGATGAAAATAGCAATTTCTAAGATTCTGACCATTGTGTTGGTAAAGTAGAAAAAGTAAAAGCTGCATTTATCTGGGAATTTGCAATATGGACAAGATGAATTTTATGCTAACAGCACTGAAAAGAAAAGGAAACAAAGTAACTAAGTATAGACTGTACTCACTTTTAAAGCTTTTGTAAGTCTGGATATTTAACAGTGCCACCGATTATGTAGCTAAGGTCAAAGTGAATTTAAAAATCTTTTATAATACTGGGCTAGTGATAGACTTAAATTGAACTTAATTTTCTTAGACTCGTGATTTCAAGTAAACAAGTCCCCAAAGTGCCTTAATACACCAGTTTTCCGATATGTAATGAAAGAACCTGAGGCCAAGACTACTTACTGACAAAAACATTCTATTGGGTTTTTTTTTATGACTGTGATCCTCAATCCTCTTTTTTCTGACAGACTGCCTCCCCTTGTAGATCTCTGAGTATTTCTCACACACCTCAATATCATTATACTTGGAGGAGGATAAGAAATTTTGCTCCTCAGTGCTCCTCCCAGACTATTATTATCTCTCCCTTCTCACTAGAAGTTTCAGCATTTGCATTTCAGATCATTCAACTTCTTTTGTCATTTACTGACCATCAGATCACTTGCTCCCACTCTTTGAGGATTTCAGACGTTGGCTAACTTTCACCCTCTTTTACAACTCCTGTCATAATTCTTGGTTCAATATGTTCATAGATGAATCACCTATTAACAGCCTCAGTTCATTAACTCCTCTCCTCCAATGATCTGGTTTTCCACCCTCCATCAGCCACTCATTCTTTTGGTCAAACCCTTGACCTCGCCTTTACCAATAACTGCAATCCCTCCATAGTCTCCATTACAAATACCTCATTCACCAACCACCACTCTTATCTGTTCAGCTCACCCTTCTCATACACAACAATCCAAACCTTTGAATTCCCCCATTTCTCAGACCTACTATCACTATCTCTTGACTCTACCACATTTCCACTTTTTCTCAACCCTTCATAGCTTCATTTCCCTCAGTACCCAGCTAAACTTCCATTGTCAACCATTTCTACTCAACTATAATCCTGGTTAAAAGCAACTTTTCACCTGCACACATACAGCTGAAAATGGACAGAGAAAACACAAAGCCATGCTGACTAGTGTCATTTCAAGTGAACCCTTGTGCCAACCAGCAATCACTATACCGATTTCCAGAGCTAAGTCCATTTGCACACTAAAAGACATCCACTAAGAATATCCCAGTCTCCCTCCTGTCTTTCACATCATCAGTTATTCTTTCCACTGGCTTATTCCATCAGCATTCAAACACTGTATTATCTGACCCCACATCCCTCATTGCTTTATATTTTTGTAGCAAGACTACTTAAAAGAGTTGCCTATAATCAATTGTTTCAAATTTCTATTTTTTCTGGAATCCATTCCAAGCTTTAGTGACTATCATTCCATCAAAATATCTTGTCATGCCATTACTCTTAATAGCTTTCCAAGAGATCTCTTTGGTTCTACTCTTACCTCCTTCTGTTCCAACCCCTGAAACAGTTCATTCTCTATACAGGAGCCAGAATGATCCTCTTAATGTGTAAGCCAATTCACGTCACACCTCTATTTGAAATCTTGCAATGGCTTCCCTACTCACTCTGAATAAAAGCCAAAGTCCTTAAAATAACCAACGAGGCACTGACCAGCCTCTGTTAACATTCTGAGCTCATCTCCAACTAGTCTAGCTATTCATTTTGCCTGTCATGTTGGTTTCTTGCTGTTAAGTCCTAGTATATACCAGACATGTTCTTGGCATTTTCTCTTCTCTCTGCCTGTAATGCTATTCTCCATAGTGAGTTACATGGCTCACTCCTTCAGGTCTTTAATGTTTACTTGTCAGTGAGTTTTCCTTCTCTAGCTATACCATCAAAAAATACACCCAACTGCCTTTTTGTCCCTCTTCCCTATTTTATTTTTTTCTTAGCTCTTTCTATTATATGGCAAGTTTATATGTATTCAACATATATGTATATACTATATATAGTGTATACAGAGTGGGGCAAAAGTTTATAGTGGTTCATATGGAAAATAATACAGAAATTAATAAATAATACAAGAATAAATTGTTTTGTATACTCACAACTGTAAACCTGCTTTTGCCCCACCCTGTACACACACTTATTGTGTGTATATGTATGTATACATTCATATGTATGTATTTACATATTCTCTCTCTCTACACACAGACAGTATTTTTCCTTCTCCAAGTAGAATGTACTCTATCATGAGGGCAGGGATTTTTGTCCAATTGTTCATCTCAGTGGCTAGACCAGTGTCTAGCACATAGTAGGAGCTGAAGCATGTGAATGAAGAAATAAGTTTAAATATAGTAAATAATTTTCCTATAGTTATAACAACTTCAGAAACCTTTCAAGTTATCAGTATTTCACAGTGATGGTTATCCACTAAAGTATATATTGAAAGAAAAAAAAAATCACCAAAATGGACACTAAATATTTATGTAATGCACTATGTTAATTAATAGGTTCATTTTACCTCTTTAAAACCTTTAAAAACTGGTTCAGGTCTCATAAATTAGAAGAGGAAGAAATTAAAGGACTTTTGAATTGCTCCAAAAAACTATCATCCTGGAAGTGACAGCTCCCTGAAAACTGAAGATTTTTTAGTTAGCTATTAAAGTAAAACTGGACACCATACAAATCACCTGGTGAATGAGTGTAATAAATTCTCTAGGGGATAAATCTTTTATCATGAAATTACTTAAATGAAACTTTATATCTGCCAAACTACTAAAATGTTTCACCTAATTATTTCAAACCATCCTATTCTATATAATAAAAGGCTAATATGCAAATCAACTGAACAGCAGAATGACAGGTCGCTATGATGCACACTGCCCATGAGGGGGCAGCCACTCAACACAGGAGCTGTTCTCCTCCCACCCCGCTTTGGTCAGTGCGCTCCCACAGGGGAAGGGCTGCTGAGCCAGAAGCCACTGCAGGGGGGCTGAGGAGCCAGGGGTCCCACACTGAGAGGATGCAGGCTGGGCTGAGGGAACCCCCCCCCTCCCTCCAGTGCACGAATCTCTTGCACTGGTGCTCTAGTATATAATAAAGTGATAAATTAAGAGGTTTGAAGATATTTCAGATCCGAAAAACTGTTCAAAATAGGTACCCAAACAATGACTGTCACTGTCCTTCTCCCAGCTGGGAGGCACAAGGGAAGTG